TCCATGCTTAAAGATGGAATATCGATTTCCTCTTACAATTTTCCGATATGTAAGCAAGTATTCCATATTTTGAAAAAATAGAACTTACTGATGAGCAAAGAAATACATAAATAAAATCACCTAATTCACCTCCCACCCCAGAGAAACTACTGTTAAGCCTTTTATATTGTTTTCACAGCATTTGTTTTCATGCCAGCCTCCCTCACCAGATACTTTTCCCTCACGGTCAGTACAGAGACCAGTGCTAAAAATTACAGATTGTACTATTAAAGTTTCCCCAGATTTCAGTAACTTGATATTAAAGAACAATGGACATGCTTATTACCTGTAACAGATTAGTTTTTGCTGCATTCTTTTGTTTGTTTGGTAAAATTAACTTTGCTATTGTATATATACCATTTTCCTGGAAGAATAAAAGGGCCATGTTATCAGTGACAGTGACAATGCCATAAAGAAACACAAGCACAAAGAAGCAACTAAACAATCTCAAAAATTAATATTAGAGAAGAAATATTAGTATAATTTTGGAACTTTGTGTAAACTTATAGGGGAATATTAAATATGTCAATGTAGCACCAAACACTGGAGCCACCATCTTAAAATTTCAGCTGTCTTTAAAGTCATAAATAATAAAGCATGTCAATTTAAAGTAATTTACATACTTCATTTTTTAATGTTTATTTATTTATTTTGAGAGAGAGAGGGATAGAGAGTGAGCAAGGGAGAGGCAGAGAAAAGGAGAGCATCCCAAGCGGGGTCCACACTGTTAGCATAGAGCCCAACACAGGGTTCAGTCCCATGAACCACGAGATCATGACCTGAGCCAAAACCAAGAGTTGGACGCTTAACCAACTGAGCCATCCAGGCTCCCCTTAAATATTTTAAAAACAAAGAATAGGGGATAAAAAGGCACACAGTAAAGGGATACAAATATCTTTATACTTTGCATTTTAAATATCTGATTATGAAATACAATTTCTCCCTTTATAGTTTGGTAGTTAAACAATACACATAGATAAATCATTGTAGAAAAGAAAATGGAAAAAATAAAAGAAACAAGAGTAATAGATTTAAAAAATGAAGGTTATGCATGAAAAGCCTAAAGTATAGAAAGTGATCCTTCTATACTCTAATGCAAATATACACATGGCAGAATGAACAAAAAGTGCTAGCTTACTGCTACCTTTCGATTATCTATTAAATATTTAATTTACTGAACTCTGTTATATGGGGGCACTTACATTATAACTGTGAAGAGCTTTACCTGCCTTAATGCATTTGGTCTTTATAGCTATTCTGTGAATTTGTCTATAATTTCCCTGCTTTATATATGACAAAACCAACTATTAGAGAGGCTGAGTCATTTTTTTTCAGTGGCCAAGCCACCAGGTAACGATATTAGGAACTGAACCTCAATGTGACCAAGTCCATATGCCCTGCTCCCCTGCGGCCTCCTGGTTTGCTGAGTTTCCCCTCGGGACTCTGAGCATCGGTGATCTGATCTCTTACTACCTCTCATGTATTTTGAAGATGAAGTCAGGTAGTGTATACTACTGTATATGTAGTGGACTGATTAATGAATCAAGCTTTGTGAAACTGGTTTCTGGGCAATAAACATTTTGTTGGCGTGTGTTTCAGTCACCTCTAGCTGAACAACCTGACGTACTCTTAGTTCAAGTGACCACCATCGTCAACTCATATCATCCTATATACCCAGAATTAAAGCGGTTTAAAATAGCTTTTATTTTTTTTTTTATTTTTTTTTTAACCTTTATTTATTTTTGAGACAGAGAGAGACAGAGCATGAACGGGGGAGAGTCAGAGAGAGGGAGACACAGAATCCGAAACAGGCTCCAGGCTCTGAGCTGTCAGCACAGAGCCTGACGCTGGGCTCGAACTCATGGACCGTGAGATCATGACCTGAGCTGAAGTCGGACGCTTAACCGACTGAGCCACCTGGGCGCCCCTAAAATAGCTTTAAAAAAAAAAGATAAAGAAAATGAAAAAGATCGCACACAATGTAGGGAATAAGCATGAGAGATGAAATACAGAGCAGTTCTTTCAAACCCAAGTGAGTTAAAGGAGGAAGGATAAGAATATAAAGTGGAATTTTTGGGGCGCCTGGCTGGCTCCGTCGGCGGAGCGTGGGCCTTGATCTCAGGGTTGTGAGTTTGAGCCCCATGATGGGTGTGGAGATGACTCAAAAACAAAATCTTAAAAAAGAAATAGCAAATAAAAAATTAAAAGGAATATAAAATGGAGTGCTAGAACTTAAACAAGACATATCAAAATACTTGAAAACCACAGCATGGGATCCCAAAAGCTGTGTTCTGGGGATACAGAGTTTGCCCTGAGGTGTGGTACGGGAGCGGTGCCGGGTGGGGCCTGCAGCCGTACCCTGGAGAGCAGCGTTCTCACCTGGACCACCTGATGGGCGTTGGTGTCGTTCAGCACCAGCTCGGTGAGGGCGGCACAGCAGGCTGGAAGGAAAACCACCAAATGATCGCGTCCGTCCTCACTGGCTGCACCGGACACTGTTACTTCGATATTCTACCGCCGCGGGGAATTCTGTTAGCGGAGTCACTCCTCAGAAAACAGTACCTTTCCCTCAGGCACGGCCCTGGGGGAAGGGCAGCTGACTTTCAGGGGTGCCTAACTCTGCTCTCCATGTAATTCATGTGCATGTACACGCCACAGCCGCCTTTTACTGAGCACTTACTGTGTACCAGGAGGCGGCTCCATTATGATCCCCAGTGCCCAGCGTGTGCCTGGCGCATAGCAGGTGCTCAATAAATACCTCTGCAATGGTTGACTAAATACGAACTTTAAATACATTATCCAAATTAACCCTTAGAATCCGAGTATGTACTATGATTACCGTTTTGATTGATGAGAAAACAGAGGCTCACAAAGATTGACAGACCAGGCCACAGAACTCGGTAAGTGCCAGGGGCCAGAAGTCGAAGTGCGGTGTGTCAGATGTTAAATCCCACACCCTGAGCACTACCCCTCCCGCCTCCTTACAGCCACCATGGCAGCCTTCCGAGACGTTCTGTACTGAACTGCTTCTTGTCTACCAAAAATATGCTGACCCTACAGCACCATTTATGCGACCCTCGTGCTAGCCCTGCACTGGGCGACAGGCATTCTGTACATCCTCGTATCATTCTACGATAACCCTCTAACACTGATATCATGGTGACCGCCACTCTTTCACATGAGCAAAACTGAAGTCTGCAGAGGTGAAGGCACTTGTCCAAGGCCACGTGGCCATCAAAGTGGGTCGAGCAAAAACTCAGAGCCTACTTCTAAGCACTTATGTTTTTAACTTTAAAATTTTTTCCCTTTTATTGGAGTATAAAACAAGCCGTATGAAGTAGCTATATCTTAAGTGTACAGTCTGGTGAGATACTGCATATCTACGTGCCTTGTAACTACTGCCGTTATGATGAATAAATAGGATAGGATACTTCCAGCTCCCAAGGGCCCCCCGTGCCCCTTCCCAGGTAATAATCTGCCTACCACCAAACATGGGGGTAACTGCCCCTCTGACTTCCAGCACCATGGATCTCATCCACTTTTTGAGAGAGGCCTAGAAATCCCAGGAACTCTGATGTCCGCTCGATTACATTTCCTGGGGAGACTTCAAACAGGAAACCCCCAGCAAGTGCCCTTATACTGAGATGGAGTCCTTCAGAATAAGCAGAAACGGCAATTCGAGGAGCAGATCCTATTTCCCTGACTTCATATGCCTGTGAAGAAACTTCCCCAGTCCTCAGGAGGAAATACTAGGGAGCATAGAACACCTGCCTTTCTCCTACCCCCTCTCATCCTCCCCATGACACATCTGTTCTCCTCTTGGGACCTGCCTGCCAGGTGTATGTGTGCGCATACATTCTTGCTTCTGCTTTTGTGTGACAAGAGAGGCTCTGTCCTCTCCTTAGGAGCTCACGTGGAATAAGGAAGGCATTCCCTTGCCCCCAGGGAACGAGTATGTGCATTGTACAGTCTCCCTTAAGGAGGGTGCTCTGAGATCTAGAAAGTATAGGAACCATGATTCTGGCCACATAGCAAGCTGAATTCTTTACTCCAGCTTTACCGATAATAAAGCTAATATTCTGCTCTCTTTATAACTGACTTCTATGCTGACTTCTCAATGTGTTCAGAATGTGGAAGGGAGAGAAAAGTTTGTGGCATCACTAACCTGCAAGCCCAACACAAGTACCAGGAAGTTTCAGACTTCTACATGGATTGTGCCTAATTAATATTATCACACTAATTTTATAACAGAATAATAAAACAATATGCTAACCAGTATCAAGTAGTATAAGATAATAGTATTATATAAGTACCTGCTTGAAGAGAAAAAGTATTTTCTTGTATTTCCCGAGGGCTTAGGTCTTCTGACAAATGAAGCTGCTGGATCCTGCCTGCCGCATTTGCACTCGACAGGCTGCCGATGGAAGAACGATCAGAAACAAAATTTCTGTCTCTGAAAACGAAAAGTTAGTGCACAATTTATCAAGTTTCCTTCATGGTCAGTGCTTTGTGGGTCCTGTTTAAGAAATGTTTGCCTCTCCCAGGTAGTGAAGTTTTCTCCTGGGTTATCTTTATTGTTTCACCTTCTAATCTACCTAGAATGGATTTCTGAGTGTGGTGTGAGGTAAGGGTTCTTTTCTCTT